CACGGGCAGCAGCGGCGAGGGCGTGGCACGTCACCATGACGACCATTACGGCACATCACAGAGAAGCCTCTCCCCCCAGCAGTTCCATGGGATGCAAGAAACACTCCCGTTATCCCAGGAATAGTGTTATTTCCGGCGAATTTAACCGAGGGGCTCGCAGAACGCAGCAGCCGTGCTATGCGAGGAGTATGGAGACTCAGACCGGTGTCACGCACACTGGCACCTCAGTGGGATTTGGCTTTGGTGTTACGCGCACTAAAGAAAAAACCCCATTTGAACCTGATCAGGTTCCCCTTAACTGTATTCAGCCAAAGTAGTACTGCTTTTGGCTCTATCAGAGGAAAGGGTGATCTGTCTGCTCTCCCGGTGGCTCCGTCATGTCTCCGGATCCATGGAGATGCAGTTCAGCTGTTTTACGCCCTAACCCGGCTTCATGCCTATAAGGTCATCACAACTCTTTAGGTCAAGAGTGATCACCCTGGCTGGCTTCTTCCCCCCTCCTCACAGGTCGGAGGAAGAAGAAACATCTCATCTCCTCTGCCCGGTGCGCGCGCTGTCTGCTATGTGGCGCGCACGGCGGCATTGCGCCGTTCTCAGCGCCTGTTTGTGCACTACAGAGAGCGCTCGATCGGGCAACCTCTGTCTACAGAACGGCTGTCACACTGGCTGTGTGAGGCTGTGTCACAGGCATATGTCTCCTCTGGGGTGGAGCCCCCGGAGAATATCAAAGCGCACTCAACCAGAGGAATTTCCTCCTCCTTGGTGTTGCGCGGAGGAATGTCAGTGGAAGATATTTGCACGGCTGCATCTTGGTCTTCCCCCTGTTCATTTATTCAATTGTATTTGAGGGATATCTCCCTTTCCTCTCTGACACGCCCTGTACTGGGTGTCCTGTCAGAGTGAGTGACGTCAGGGATCCAGCTGTGCGCCTCTCTCCTGCCTCGCGGCACACAGAGAGCGGCCCTTTTTCCCCTCGTAGGAGAGGGACTTCCCCTTCCTCTGACACACTTCGTAGGGAGTGCCTGGTCAGAGTGAGTGACGTCAGGGATCCAGCTGAGAGCTCTCCTACCTGGCTGACACGGAGAGAGCGGCTGTTCCCCCTCTATGATCGCAGGACAAGGTGGGACCTTCGTCTCTATTTTCTCACAGCGGTCGGTATGTATTGTTCCCAGCCTTCACCCCGTCAGGAAAACAGGTATGTTTGCTCCAGGGACGGGGATGTGCCATTACGTATGGCACAACAGGCAGGGTGGTGTTATTAAGCAGGTATGTCTGTGCTTCTAGTGCTAGACGGACCCAGTGGGGCGCAGACTACATCATGCTTCGCCCTTAACCCAATAGCGATAGCCTTAGAGGGCAAAGCCATATATACAAAATAGAACTGAGGTTACCTACTGTAACCCAGCTTCTATGAGTATTGGCGCAGCCCTCTAAGCGCTGGGCCCCACTGGCTCTACGAATAGCTGAAGAAGAGTTATATTGTATGGGAGCAGATCGCCGGGCAACCTCCCTATTTATACCGGAAGGAGGCCCGAGGGTGGGGCCCACCTAGCGGGTGGGCGTGGACTACAAGTGTTTTCAGTACTGCGCGGGGGCGCAGAAGGGTAAACCCAATAGCGATAGCCTTAGAGGGCTGCGCCAATACTCATAGAAGCTGGGTTACAGTAGGTAACCTCAGTTCTCCCTGTCATGTTTTCCTCTGGGTATATTGTCTGGTCCTTTTCCCTGTGTTTTTCCCCTGTCATTAGTTTCCCTGGTGTGTCTAGTTGTCTGATTATTTTCACCTGTGGCCCTTGTGTTTCTCCTCCCCTGCCCGGCTGTGTCTCGTCTTGTGATTACCCCTCCCTGTATTTAGTCTCTTCCTGTGTTCAGTGTCGGTTCGTCTTGTGTCATGACTAGTTCGTCGGTGAGTGTTCTGTTTTGTCTTTGTTTATCACCTAGCCTTGAAATAAAGGAATTTTCACTTTTATCTGCATTTGGGTCCTGCCTGCTTCACACACCGTAACGGATAATCTGTATATATTAGTAAGATTTCTTGCCATATTACAAGTTTTTATCAATTCTCTCACATGTCCTATGTGGTATTGCTATGCAAACAGTGAAAGGATATGTAAATCATCAAGAGGTAGCTAAAATATGTTTTTCTAATGACCCTGTCCAGAGCAGCACATTGCTTTGCTTCCAGGTGGTTGCTCCTGTCTGCATCTCCAAGCTCGGGGCATACCGACATCATCTACTCTAGGTAATACACTGACTATGGATAAGTACCTTTTACAACCCCACTTCAAGCAAATTTGGGGTGAAGTGTCTTGCCCACCACACAACGACATGTTGACTGCAGTGGGGTTTGAACCTGTAAAACCTAATAAAAAAATCTTTCAAGGTATAAAAAAAACAAGTTTCTACCATGATCAAAAGCGGCAAGACGAAGCTTAAAAACGTTTCTGGTCCTACCCACGGAAATGCGTACCGTCACTTGTGTCACAAACAGTGTTGTGCTAGTTACTGAAAACCAGTAACTAGTTACCATTACTAGTTACTTCATTTCAAAAGTAACTCAGTTACTTTACTAGTTACTTACACAAAAAAGTAATGCGTTACTGTGAAAAGTAACGTTTTAGTTACTTACAAAAAGGGCTCCCATTTATTATTCTCCAATGCAATAACAGTACTGAAATGAAGGCTATAAGGATAGCCTTCATTTCAGTACTGTTATTGCATTGGAGAATAATACAATCTGTTGATCAACTTGACATGCATTACAAGCAATCTGGATTGCATCGATATTAGCTGGCTTTCCATTTTTGTATATTCTTTCTCCAGGTAGTTGGAAAAAGTTTTCCCTCCCATATGCCGTGTGCCGCCCAGACATGCTATCATGCTAACTAGCTCCCTGAAAGCGGGTGACTCCACTGTAGCATTAGCCTGCATGTGTTCTACAACATACCGTGCAATGGCTTTATCGACTTTTCCCTGGCTCGCAGTCCCTTGGTTAAAATCCAGCCGCTGTTGCTTAGGTGGAGGTGGAGTGGCGTCGGCTGAGTCTCTGTGGTTTTAGCTACTAGCTTCGTCCCAGCATGTTGTTTTTGCAGATGTTTTAAGAGATTTGAATGACTGGTTTGGGCAGTAGATAGGATCTTTGACCCGCCAAGACACAACTTACATTTAACTAAAACGTTATTTTCTTTGTGCTCGACAAAAGTGAAATAGTGAGAATATCTCCAGGTGGAGAAACTAGACTTGAGCTCCGCCGCCGCCATGATAGTCTTGTTAGTAAACAACATAAACACGCCCACAGCCCGTCTCCGCATGTGACACAGGAAGTATCTAAGTACATTTACTCAAGTACTGTACTTAAGTACAGTTCTCATCTCTGTTCGCCTGGCTGTTGACTATATAAAAAAACTAACGGAGTAACGCACCATGTAGTAACGGTAACTGCGTTACTGAATTTGAAAAGTAATGCCTTAGAGTACTCGTTACTGCCAAAAATAACGGCGTTACAGTAACGCGTTACTTTGTAACGCGTTAGTCCCAACACTGGTCACAAAGCGCATTTGCGTACCGACGTACTTGTGAAGCTTTTCCAGAAGGCGGTTAGATCACCGGACGACAGAGTCGGTCTCCGTGTGCACAGACAGGGCTGCTGTTAACGTCGGTCTGTACAACGGAATTGTGCCAAAACTACGCCAACCGGCTGCGGAGGGAGACTCCACCCCCCCCCTTCACTGGAGAACTGCGCTAAAACAGCTGATCACAACGTTCACACTCTGTGGTCATGAAGTACTCCACTAGCCGCCCCCCCTCTGTCGACTTTCCTGAAGTACTCCCCCGTTGATATAAATCAACACATAATGAATTAAGACCCCACGGTTTGATGATTGATAGGTGTGTGGGTTGTCTTTCATTTTGACACGCAGAAAAATGTTATAATAAACATAGATACTGTATGTTAAATGGATATATCCGCCTTTCATTTATCTTTCCATTCCCACAACAATATACATAAATAAATGGCATTTTGGACATAGTTCAAATGGTGATTAATCATGATTAATTAATTTAAGCTGTGATTAATCTGATTAACATTTTTAATCGTTTGACAGCCCTAATATATATATATATATATATATATATATATATTGCACTGTTGGAGGAGCATGTGACTTCAGTTTTTCATTGACATATCTGCACTGATGTCTTCTGTCGTTAAGCTTTTTTATAATTAAAAAAAATATGTATTCTGTTTTTTTAGAGGTCTATTCTAACAATTAATATATGTTAAAAGAAAAATATTTCATGGAATTATAAAAACCTTTCTTGTAAAATTACAGATTTCTTTGGCAAAAAACGTGAACAGTTTTTTTACAATTTTTTTTACAGTGTAGTTAGTGTGTCAATGTCAAGTGCACCTTGAAGAGACGTGTTTGTTTTGTCTTTACCGGAGCAAGAGAGAGGCAGCATGATGAACACAAATACTGGAAATCAAAATCAAACTAAATGGTAATCTTGCCTGGATGTTAGACTTAATTGCCTAAAACCTGAACTGACATGGTGCAGCAGTGGCCTCTAGCTGTGCATTTTTTTGAATGAGAAATCCTTTTTGACAGATAGTCACTACAACATGTTTAGTTTCTATCTTTCATACTTCTACAAATTACCCCATTTTGGGCCTAAACAAACTTGTAAGGGTATAAGTTGCCTTTAGTTATAATCAGGAGCCCAAACAAACTTCTGACTGGCTACCCCTAAATATTCTTATTATTCTTAGTACGTTTCTTGTAGTCTTGTGAAGAATGTAATACAAGCAAGTAAAAGCAGTTTCACATTCGCAAAATCACCCAGGCTCTTAAAATGGTTGGAATTTAAGAAATATTCATTTTTTATTAACTGTTTTGATCTTTTCATTATTAGAAAAATATACCAAGCTACATATACATCTATAAATATGTATTTAGATAAATTGCAATCATCATTAACAATACAGTTCATTCACTTACCATGTTGGGCATGTTTGCTGGCCATAGTTGGTGATGGAGGGAGGAGCTGGTCTGCTGCTGAGCTGAAGAAGTGAAGTTAGTCTGCAGCAACACCTCCTTAAATACAGACTGCATGCAGCAAACCACACCCACACACTGCTGACATCACAGTCTGAAATCCAGGTATGATCGGATGATTTGATAAATGATAATGAAACCAGCTGCAATGGATCATGGATCCACCAGGGGGAGCTGTGATTACAAAGCTGACACACTGGAACTCATGTGAAATAAACAGCTGATAGATATATCTGATATAGCTGACCTTTGTTAAGATCCATACAGTATGTCACGGATAGGATCATATTCTGTGCTAAATAAGAGACATATAATCATTTACAAAACATCACCATGTTTTTATTTAACAAAATAATGTTGTTTAATTCATGTTGGCGTCATACTTGCCAACCTTGAGACCTCAGAAATCGGGCGCATTTCCAAAACCACCGCGGGGGGCGGGGGGGTGCTAGTGGATCGCAGGAGCTGTATTAGATTAACATAAACATGCGTATTGTAGTTGTAAGTGCACTGCCTTGCGGCCTGTAGCACCATGGAGCATATGTGTACAGGAAAGGAGTGAGCAGAGGGTAGAATTGTCGATTTTTGTTCTGTTTTCTGTGACTATCTGCCTGACTATCTATTAGCGTGCGCAACTGAAAGTCTGAGAGGGTGCACCCTCTCAGACTTTCAGTTGCGCACGCTACTAAAGAGACGCGCTACCATGGAAACCAAACAATGGTGTAGCTGTATTAAAGTCCGAGTGGAAACAGTCATTAGTAAATCTGATTTTGTCAGAAATCGGGAGAAATGCGGGAGAAATATGACCCCGGGAGGAAACCGGGAGAGGGCAGTGAAATCGGGAGTCTCCCGTGAAAATCGGGAGGGTTGGCAAGTTCGCCGAATTTACATGAAAGCACGAACAAATATTCATTTGTCAACTTCATTAAAACTTTATTAATGTGCCTAAACTCAGTAATTCACTAAAAATAGGTTTATTTTTAATGGACCCTCGTCCAAGTGGGATTTATCTTTTATTACTATACTGTAGCATATCATTTTGTATTCCCACTGTCACGGATATATTCATATTCTGCATTGAATAAGATACATTTAATCATTTAAAAAAAATGGTGTTTAGTTTCTATTTAACTAAATACATGTGGTTAAATCCACGTGAGTTTACAACTACAAAAATAATCAGTTTGTTTTTGTATCACATCCGACGGGAGGAAATGCAGCCCCGCTCTCACTACCGATTTGTAATCCTAATTTAATCATCTTCACGATCATTTAATGTAGTAGGCTATCATATGTTCACCGAATTGACATGAAAGCACAAACAAATATGAATATCTTGAACCTCTACCAACTTTGTGGGTGGATGTACAAGGCAAGGCACATTTGTTTATATAACACCTTTCAACATAAGGCAATTCAAAGTGCTGTAAACAATGAAACACATTATGAAAGGGCATTTAAAAACAATAATTTAAAAGCAAAGATAATAAAACATGAATAACTCATCAATAAAAGTTACAGTGCAGTGTAAGATGTGAATAGTTCAATTAAAAGCAGCGGCAAAAAGAAAAGTCTTCAGCCTGGATTTAAAAGTAGTCAGAGTTGCAGCGGACCAGTGTTAATTTTGGCAGCTATTTTTGAGTTAGTCTTAGTCTTACGGTGTGTCCACACAGCAGCTTTGACCAAATCTTGAAAATCCTGGAGCTGGGCGTGTCTGACAGCTTGGGGATTTCGCGACCAACAACCAATCACATGAATATTACATGAATATCCCGCCCCCGACATACAAAGCAAAAAAACCCGGTTCTTCTACACTATTGTCAAATAGGAAGGGCTATGATGAACATTTATTTTTTTAACATTTTGAACATTTATGAGATTAATGTTTATGGTGCTATTTTATGCTACATTCCATGCTGGCTAATGATACTGTCTATGCTTGCTAGCAACGAAGTAAACTAGCAACGAAGTAAACTGGATATAAAATCCCCAAACAAGCGAAAACCTACCAGTTTCACCCACTGTCTCTGGCACCTCCCTCCATGCCTGGTTCCTCCGGTTTGTATCCCGGTAAGTAAATAGGGACCGGTCATAAAGAACCGGGTGATTTGCTACCGCAATAACTAAGTTCTCCTCCATTTTTGTGGAATATAGAAATGAACTGCGGGTCTGGTTCTCCCAGCTTGCATGCGGTTTGATTGGCTAGCGCTTAAACTGTCAGATTTGCATAAACGGATCTGATTGGCTGTCACTTCCAGCTCAGCCTCAAAAGTTGAACATTGTTCAACTTTGGAATCCTGAACATCCTGGAAATCCTGGAAATCTTCGCCTCGCCCCCCCCCACAATGCAGTTCGGTGACAAGCGAGGGAAAGTGACATCATCCCCATTCAAAGTCAATGGGCGGAGACGCGCTGGAAGCGGTGGACAAATCGCCAAAAGCTGCTGTGTGTACGGGCCGTTAGTCTTTAGACGAAAATGGTTATTAGTTTTTGTCACATTTTAGTCATTTCTATCCTTCATAGTTTTAGTCCAGTTTTAGTCGATGAAAAATTACATTTTAGTCAACTTTTAGTCATGTTTTCTCTCTTTAAACCAATTCAGTTAGGCAAATACAGGTATCTGAAATTGGAATCAAGGTGACAATATCAAGTGTTGAAATGTACAAGTTAGTTACGACTTATCATGTAACGTTACCCCCAGTTTCCACTGGGTCCATCTGCGCCACGCTGCGCCGCGTCACGGCAGCGCCGCAGTTTTGGTCCGACCTCCTCTAGCGCCATAACCCACCGGACGCGTCCCAGAAGCGTTTCAGAAGCGTAGCGTCGTGCGTGCAGGCTCGCAGTTTTGTTATTGATTCGGGCATCCTGGACATTTGTACTTCTACAAGAAAGTAAGTAGGCTACGTAGTTAAATGTTTTATTTTTGTGTCTGTTTAAATTGTGTTTATTGAATGGCTCTGTACTGTACCTACAAGTATTAATTAACTTTAAAACATTAATATGTAGTTGTTACCTTCCACTCCACAAACTGCAGCGACTAAAAACCAGGCCTTGTCCTTTCTGATGTTGTCCTTGCAGTAAGCATCGGTTACATCATATAAAATAGTGTGTTTTTCCACTTCCATCATGAAAACCTCGTTGTCCATTGTGCGTATCGTAGTGGAGGTGTTGTGATGAAGGAGGGGGGTCTGCTAAATTAGTATATGTGGGGGATGGGCCTGGCCCGGATGCTCACCTTTCCACTTCCTGCGAGGGGGGGCTGCCTGCCCGATCTTAAGTTACGGCTGCGCTGCGGCAAAAATAGGATTCATCCTAATTTTATAGAAGCGCTGCGCCAAGCCGCTTCTGGGACGCGTCTGAGCCGTAACGCGGGCGTGTGGTGGAATAGCACCCATTGACTAGAGTGGCCGCGATCCTTACGACCGCCGCGGCGCAGCGCGGCGCAGCGCGGCGCAGACGAACCCGGTGGAAACTGGGGGTAAGGGAAAACACACAAAGGGAGAAAGTGAGGTAATCTGCAACAAGAAGGAGAGGTTACTGCAAAATAAAACAGGATACAAGACTGAACTTAAAACATTAACTTAACAGATTTTACGAGATACAACAATTAGCCATATTACCATGGGACATGGGGACACAGCAAATACATGCTGCCATCACAACGAAGTTAGAGGCCTTTGCATATTTAAAACCAGTGCCAAATATGTCAAATCTGTAACGTTTTTGTAAAACTACAGAAACAAACTCTCAATGGCCACCAATCTGCAGATCACACACATCCGTTTGACAAAAGATGTAACATAGATGTTTACACTGCCGACAGTCATTATTTCAAACAGTATAAACACATTTAACGCAGAATGTTTGCTCATTCATTTGTTTCCCTCCACCACGATGGTTGCCATCGTATGGTCAGATCCTGGGGTAGACCGGTCACTGATGAAGGCGATATTCATGTCCTTTTGAAGCACATTAAATAATAGGTTAGCGCATAAAAGATAATGAATTAGGTAATTGCATACTTTTTAAAGAGCCTGTGACAGCCTCCCAACAACTGTTGTGCAATGAAATATTGGGCTACTAGTCATTTAGAACCGTCAGTTTAAAAAAGAAGGTGCGATACCGTTCCGATAAATATCAATAATTTCGAACATCGCGGGAAAATTCCGTCGACTCATTTTGAAGTTTTGGGGGAAGCCGGAAGTGACGTCAATGCGGGAACGCTTCACTGTGCGGCGAGAGAGCCAAACACGGACAAAGTGTGTTGTCATGCGTAGAAATTGTGAATTACTGAGTTTAGGCACGTTAATAACGTTGTAATGAAGTTGACTACAGTATATTCATATTTGTCAGTGCTTTCATGTCAATTCGGCGAACATAAACATAAATTATCGTGGTGAAGATGATGATTAAAATCGGAGCTGCTGAATTTCCTCCCGTCGGATGTGATATAAAAACAAATCGATTATTTTTGTAGTTGTAAACTCCAGTGGATGAAACTACATTTATTAGTGCTTTCATGTCAATTCGGCGAACATATGATACATTTCAGTCAGACAACTCACGTGTTCCTTTAACATGTTTATTAGAAGCAGCATATAGTTAAGTTTGGCGACTAGGCTCGGGCATCATCACTCCATAGATATACATAGCACGATGAGTGATGATCAAATAACTAACCCCCGAGCCTACAGGTGGAAGCTGGGGTGGAAGCTGGGGTGGTGGTGGGGCAGCAAGCAGCAGTGACGTAGAGGTAGCTGCAGCAATAGCAGCAGCAAGCAATGCATGGAGAGAGATCTGGCAGGTTAAATAGAGCGGCGTATTAAGGAGACTCTGTTTGGTTGGTTGTAGAGTGGCAAGGGGGCGTTATGTATGAATGCAGCATAAGTGCTCGAGTTGACTGCCTGAACTAGCTCGCAGGCTTCGCCCCATTTCAGTCAGACAACTCACGTGTTCCTTTAACATGTTTATTAGAAGCAGCATATAGTTAAGTTTGGCGACTAGGCTCGGGCA